ATATGCAAGAATAAACTCAAAATGGATAAAAGACTTAAATGTAAGTTGTGAAACCATAAAAACCCTAGAAGAAACTTAGGCAGCAGCATCTCAGAAATCTCTTGTAGCAATATGTTTGCCGTTATATATCCTAGGGCAAGGGAAACAAAGGAAAAAATAAACAAATGGGGCTACATCAAAATAAAAAGCTTCTGCACAGCAAAAGAAACCATCAACAGCCCAGTGGTGTAACTCAGCAGTTGAGCATTGACCTAGGATCCAGGAGATTGCAGTTTGATTCCTGGTCAGGGCACATGCCAGGGTTGTGGGCTCAATTCCCAGTCAGGGGCATGCAGGAGGGACATCACTGATGTGTCTATCACTTTCTCTCCCTCTCTCTTCCTCTCTCTGAAATCAATAAAGGTATATTAAAAAAAGAAAGAAACCATCAACAAAATGAAAAGGGAGCCCACTGTGTGGGAGAACATATTTGCCAATGATACATATGATAAGAGGTTAATATCCAAAATATATAAAGAACTCATACAACTTAACAAAAAGAAGACAAACAATCCAATTAAAAAATGGGCAAAGGATCTAAATAGATACTTCTCCACAGAGGACATACAGATGGCCAAGAGACTTATGAAAACATGCTCAAAGTCACTAATTATCAGAGAGATGCAAATTAAAATAACAATGAACTATTATTTCACACCTGCCAGAATGGCTACTATCAACAAATTAACAATTGACGAGTGCTGGCAAGGTTGTGGAGAAAAGGGAACCCTAGTACACTGTTGGTGGGAATGCAGACTGGTGCAGCCACAATGGAAAACAGTGTGGAGTTTCCTAAAAAAAAGAAAATGAAAATGCTATTTGACCCAGTGATCCCACTTCTAGGAATATATCCTAAGAATCATGAAACACCCATAAGAAAGAATATATGCACCCCTATGTTCATAGTAGCACAATTTATAATAGCTAAGATCTGGAAACAGCCCAAGTGCCCATCAGTAGATGAGTGGATAAAAAAGCTGTGGGACATTTACATGAGGGAATACTATGGAACTGTAATGAAGAAGGATCTTTTATCCTTTGGGACAGCATGGAGGGACCTGGAGAGTATTATGCTAAGTGAAATGAGCCTGTCAGAGAAAGACATGTACCACACGATCTCACTCATATGTGGAATCTAATGAACAAAATAAACTGATGAACAAAATAGATCCAGAGAAATAGAAGCATGGAACAGACTGAGGCATCTCAGACAGAAGGTGAGGGTGGGGGAGATGGTAGGGAGAGATTAATCAAAGAATTTATATGTTTATAAGCATAACCCATGGACACAGACATTGGTATGGGGAAGGCCTGGGGGTGAGGTGGATGTGGG